TTCTTCTTCTTCTTCTTCTTTGGTGGTTGTTGTTTTGTTTTGTTTTTGGTGCTGGGGATCAAACCCAGGACCTCACATGTGTTAGGCAAGTGCTCTACTACTGGGCTATACCTCCAAACCCATGCTTCACTTTTGTGTTTCTGCACAAAACAGACAGGGGACAGAGCTCAATCCAGGGGACAGAGCTCTTTAAAGATTAGGGAAGTTAAATTGCTGGGCAAATGAAAAAGAACACAGAGAAAGTAATAAGCATAAATATATTATACTAAAAACAATAACAGAACACAATAAAATGACTTCAAGAGAAATTTTCTATGAATGTCCTTAATGAATGGATGATAGAAAGCATGATTAGACATTTAAGGTCACTTCTAGCCAAAGAGAATGGTGTTAAGGAGAGGTACCTGCCTACAGGTGGGGATCTTATACTATCAGATTATAAGAGAGAAGGAAATTTAATGTATGAGCCTGTATTATTTGAAAGTTTATTCATTCCTTCAACAAATATTTACTGCTCATGTATTAAGTGTGCAGCATTCTGCTAAGTTCTGAACATACAGTAGCCATCATTCTTGCCCTCAACAAACTTACAGCCTAGTGGAGAAGCCAGCTGTAATCATATACTCACAGGAATAAATACATGATTGATTATAAACTGCAGTAATGTTCCAAAGGAAAACCAATGACTCAGGTGACCTAATGTTCCAAATGGAGAAAATAGTATATGCCCAGAGATAGAAAAATTTTTAGTACATTAGGGCTGAAGATGTAGCTCAGTGGTAGAGCACTTGCAAACCCTGGGTTCAATCCCCAGTCGGCAGAGTGGGGAGGAGAGCAAGCTGTGTTCTGTAGCAAAATGATAGCTGGGCATGATAGTGATGCCTATTATCCCAGTGATTCAGGAGGCTGAGGCACAAGGATCTCAAGTTTGAGGCCAGCAACTTAGCAATCCTGTCTTGTTTGAGGTTGCAACTTAGCAACCCTGTCTCAAAATAAAATAAAAAGGGCTAGGGATGCAGCTCAGTGGTAGAGCACCCCTGGAGTTTGGTTGGAACTTACTAAGAGTTAAGAGTGGTATGAAATAAAAGTAAAGAGGTCATCAGGGTCAGAGTAAACAAGACCTTTTGGGAACACTGAAGATTTCACACTTTATTTATGGTTACATGGGAAGTTATTGACAAGTTTGAAGACAGGAAAGATATGATCCAATATACATTTATTTAAAAGATCATTTATTCATTTTAAAGATCATTCTGGGACTGAGGGTGTAGCTTGGTAGTAGAGCATGCTTAGCTTGTAGGAGGCCTGGGGATCCTTCCTAGCACTGCAAAAAACAAACAAACAAACAAATAAATAAATAAAAGACCATTTTGATTATTGGCTATGGTAGATGAATTAGAGAAGAATGAGAAGGGATGCCGTGCAGTAGGGGTACCCATGAGTGATTAGAGAGGGCCTAGTCCCACCATAATCTCTATTTATATCTCATGATCTGCATACACACACTTCACCTTAATTGCACCAACTAATTTCATGGACATGCACCCTGTTCAGTTGCACAAGACCTGCACTCACAAGAGTCTGCACCTGGTTAAAAGTTTTGCTAAAGCTGTTTGAAATTCTTAATAAATTTTCAACAGTAGGTCTAACATTTTCACTTTGCACTGGGCTCTGCAAATTATGTAGCCAGTCCTGCTCACTAAACATGCAATCTAGGAAAAAGCAGTCTGCAAACTCTGACAGTACCTATTTATACTGTAGTTACTAATGTCAGAGGTACTTCAAATGAATGCCAAGTTTCAATCATTTATCTCATCACACATATGAAAGCAACAGTAGGGCACTTTCCATCATTTATCTTTGAAGTTCTCTTTCCTGCACCTCAAAATACACTCAAGGCAGAAGCAGTGTGTTTGCTATACTAATTTAACTTTAAGAAAGGGCAATTACCAGCTTACTGTTTTTAAGTTTTACATATTCAAAAAGCCTGGAACCAGCTGGGCACAGTGGCACAGGTTTGTAATCCCAGCAGCTGGGGAGGCAAAGACTGAAGGATTTCAAGTTCAAGGCAATTTTTGAGACCCTGTCTCAAAATTAAAAATCAAGAGGCTGGGGGTGTAGCACAGTGGTAGGGCAGCCCTGGCTTACCGAACTGCATTTTACATTATTTAAGAAGTATTTCAGTACAGGAAAGAAAAAGAAAACAAAAAATAAAAGAGTCTGGAATCAATGAAGTACAGAAACCAGTTGGAAATGTATTACAATAATCTAGGTGGAAGATGATAATGGTTCAGACTACTAGGGGTGGTGTGAGGATGGGGAGAAGTGTACATATTTTGGAAGTAGGAGTAATAAGACTGAATGATAATGTGGGGCAGTCAGACATGCGTCAAGGGAAAATATCTTTATTTCTTTCTTAAGTAACTGAGTAGTTGGCAACAGTTCAGGGAATTATTCACCACAGCTCTTAGTCTCCTTTGTTAGGGATTGTAGAGACAATTTGAAAGGACTCTAGCCCTGCCTATGGAAATTTGGTCAAGTCCAACTCTCATACTGCCTCTCTGAACTGTAGTGGCTAACCACAGGAAACACTTAAAATGAATGTACAGATCAACCGCTTACCCCAACAACCCACTGTAGGAACATTGGGCTGATAAGCTTTGCTCACTAATTTTCAGCTTCATTTTGTCTTCTAAAGCAAAAAACATGAGCATCTACTTTAGGTACTCTTCCATTATCGTTTTGCATAGCTTTGCTGCTTTTGCTGGCCTTTAGTGAAACAAATCTGGACCTGCTTTACTCCCTCACTTTTTGGTGAAAGGTAATGGTGGTTATCTTGGGGGATGGTATAGCCTTCAGCCAGACTCAGAAATCAGGCTGCCTTGTCAGTGCTTATCAGTTTCAGCAGCTTGGCAGCTGTTGTCTGAAAAGCAAAGTACAGCTTTGGTGTATGCTAAATATGTTGACATGCATATAGGAACACAGTGCATTTAAATATAAACTTGGGATATTTGAAAATCCCTATGCTACGAAACAGCCATTTACAAATGGCTAGCAGTCTACCGAAGATAGAAGTTAATAGATGAAATATAACTAAGGGTAGATAACATTTGATTCTAGGCTTGAAAGCAGTACAACTCTGATTATTTTTTTAAAAAAGTTAAAGGCTTAGCTGTAGAGCACTTGCCTAGCACATGTGAAGAGGCACTGGGTTCAATCATCAGCACCGCATATGAATAAATAAAATAAAGGTATTGTATCCATCTACAACTTAAATTTTTTTAAAAAAGTTAAAATAATTTAAACTAATACTTGCAAATAAAATAAGAATTTATTTAAAAGCAAAATGGAAAAACTTACCACTACAAAGTTAACTCAAAATGGATCAAAGACCTAAATACAAGAACTATACAATACTTAGAAGAAAACATAGAAATAAATTTTTATAACCTTAAATTTGGCAATGGATTCTTAGATATGGCAGAAAACAAACAAAAAAAATTGGACTTTATCTAAATTTTAAACTTCTGTGAGTTGCTGGGCATCATGGCACATGCTTTGTAATCCCAGCAACTCAGGAAGCTTGGGCAGGAAGATTGCAAGTTCCAGGCCACCCTCAACAATTTAGCAAGACCTCCTAAGCTATTTAGGCCCTGCCTCAAAATAAAAACTAAAAAGAGTTGGGGACAAAATTCAGTGGTAAAGCATCCCAGGTCAATCTCCAATATGGGAGTGGCAGTGAAGGACGAAAAACTTTTGTGAGTTAAAGGACATTATCAAGAAAAGGAAATGATAATCTATAGAATGGGGGAAAATGTCTGAAAATCTTATATCTGATAGGGATTAATTAACCAGAATATGTAAACTCAACCACAAAATGACAAACAGGGCTGAGAATGTAGCTCAGTGGTGTAACACAGGAGGCCCTGGACTCAATCCCCAGCACTGAAAAGTTGAAAGAAAAAAAGAAAGAAAAGAAAGTCAATCACAAGTTCAAAGCCAGCCTCAGCAACTTAATGAGGCCCTAACTAGCTCAGTGAGACCCTGTCTCTAAATAAAATATAAAAAAGGGCTGGGG